TGTATTTTGGATTACGAAATTATAAGAACTAGCCGTCCCCCGGTAGCCGAAATTCGACTATAATTAATTGAAATTATAAGTTTGTACACTATTATGATTCTATTGTCAAAGACTAATCATACTTCTTTATTCACAGATTTCGCCATGACTACACTTTAGACAAATATTATTAAAGACAAACATTAATCTATTCTCAATTTGGCCACGGACTAAGCAATAAGAAAAGTTTGACAGTAAACAAATAGTATGCAAGCGTGTATGTGTCAAATACATGGTAGTGTGTGTAATCTTTTTTTTATTGATTTAATGTATTTTATTTGAACAATTTTTAAAAATAATAATAATAATATTCTGCACTCCTTCTTCTCTATATTCTCTATAAGTGTGGGAAATTTCATACTTCTCCGTCCGCGCAATTTTCGTAAAAAGGGGTACAAAGTTTTTGCTTCACGTATTAATATATATTTATTAGATGATATATTTTAATAGGATAGCGCAGACTAGTGGATGAGAATGCAAATATTTCGGGTGTCGGGCATTAATGAGCTCGTTAAGGCAGATATTTGTGGCGGAACAGCAAATTAATTGTGACATAGGTATTTGTACTACATTATTTTGTTCGATGGAATGTTGCTATTTCGAGCTACCGTATGAGTTAATGTAGGTTAGATATTCTTTTGAGTTGACGCTAAAATTAGTAAAAAAAGGGTAGTAGTTCATATTTTTTTAATTATTGTTTTTCAAATCTTTAAGATCTGTTTGTGTCTCTTTTTCTAGCTCTCTTTAATAACTCTTTAATAATTTAAAGGCTCTAGACAATTACCGATACCCACCTATCAAAGAGAGCACTGACCTGGAAAGTGTCTGGCAAGAGGAAGAGAGGCCGCCCCAGAACAACTTGGCGTCGCTCGGTGGAGCAGGAGCTAGGGGTCTTGGGCATGACGTGGGAGGAGCTAGAACAGACTCCCCAAGACCGATGTAAATGGGAAAATTTTATTCGAGCCCTACACCCCAGCATAGGGTAATAGGAAGGAATGATGATGATGATGAGACAATCTGCTGGGCACTAACATAAAGCTTTCCGAAATAAAGATTTCTCAAAGATGTACTTTAAAAACTCATAAAATACACACTTAAACAGCAAACTGACCAAAAAAGTAATGTAATTTCTTTTAATTTTATTGTTACTGCTCCGGAGATTAGAACTAAGTTGTAAAATTATTGTGTTGTCTTGATGTGTGCGCTAATTTTCAAGCAAGATGATCGGACCAATTTAATGAACTAGAGGTCCCGCGGTAGTCGAAATTCGACTATAATCAATTGGAATTGTAAGTTTGTACACTATTATGATTGTATTTTATACTTCTATAATCACAAATTTCGCTAAGACTACACTATAAAATATCTTAACAAAAACAGACAATATTTAATCTATTCTCAATTTGACAACAGACGTCAAGAACAAAAGTTTGACAATAAATAGTATGCATGCGTGTGTGCGTCAAATACATGGTATGTAGTGTGTGTAATGTTTTCTTTATTGATTTAATGTATCTTTTATGCATTATTTTAAAAAAAGATTAGCATTGTGCACTTCTTCTCTATATTCTCTATAAGTGTGGAAAATTTGATAATCTTCCGTCCGCGCAATTTTCGTAAAAAGGGATACAAAATATTTGCTTCACGTATTAATATATAGATAGGTCAACCGAATGAATGTCATTTTAACGATTCCGTTACATGAAACAAACATATCCGACTAATAAAAGCGTGATAAAAGCGATATAGTTTTTTTTTTTTTTTTATTGAATTAGAACTTACCTGGAAAAAAATATGTGTATTTTACTGAATGGTCATGACGCCCTGACAAGTGTCTACTTTAGTGAAATGTCTTCGTGATGTTTCAATATTTTTTTTGTGAAGGAAGGACTACTCGTGTCCTGGAGGCCTTTCTGATTTCACCAGGACAGGTGGGCAACCAGGGGCTCAGCCAGGTCGGATGAGCTTGGCCAGGAGGAATGGGCTCAAGCAGGAGGGATGGCATTTTATTTTCATGTATGATGTACTAAAATTGGGCATAGATAGCAGTTATAAACATTACCACTATAATTAGGCTAGTGTTAAAACATCAAATATATATATAATAGAGTAAGGTTTTGTGTTTTTTCGTAATATGTATTTACGTTCCTAACAAGAAATATCAGCGCATGTGTCATTTACTTAGCATGATTTCTTTATTATATTATCGAATCTATATATTAATACGTGAAGCAAAAACTTTGTATTCCTTTTTACGAAAATTGCGCGGACGGAGGAGTATGAAATTTTTCACACTTATAGAGAATATAGAGAAGAAGTGCAAAATGCTAATATATTTTTTAAAAAAATGCATAAAGGATACATTAAATCAATAACGAAAACATTACACACATTACATACCATGTATTTGACGCACACACGTATGCATACTATTTATTGTCAAACTTTTGTTTTTGACGTCTGTGGTCAAATTAAGAATAGATTAAATATTTTTTGTCTTTATTAATATTTTTTTATAGTGTAGCCTTGGCGAAATTTGTGATTATAGAAGTATAAAATACAATCATAATAGTGTACAAACTTACAATTCCAATTAATTATAGTCGAATTTCGACTACTGCGGGACCTCTAGTAAATATAAATAAATGTATTTAAAAATATACATGTTCTCGGAATTGTAAGAGATACGTACGTTTGTTAACTTTGTTGCCTAAAGATTATTGTATTCAATGATAGTGGCACTTAAAGAGTAAGTTCACTTGCGTCTGGGAGCTGATTGGGTTTTTTTATATAATATGGTGATTTTAAAATAGTTGGAATTCGTACGTGGCGCTGCTACTACGAGTATTTGGTAAGAAAGATCAGATTGCACTTTGTATGGAAAAACTGTGTATCCCGAAAAACATTTAGTGAAATATATTTTTATTTACTGTTTTCATCCAAATCTTCGTAACTTTTAGAAATGTAAGACGTCCGATGTAAATGTATCAAGCCAAGTGACTACACCGGTGCCCAAATTCCGCAGGCAAGTACAGTTGAAGTTGTAGGATTAACATTGTGAATTAAAAAAAAAACTCCTATAGTTGATAACTTTTCTTAACTACTTCTAGTAGTGTTCTATGTCAGCGTGCATGACTATGTGAGTGCCATCATCCTATCTATTTCTGCTGGAAAATTGTCATACTGTCCCAGTTTTAATGGTGAAGAAACCATTCAAGAATATAAGTGATATTTCAACTTCATATCTTAATGTGAATGGCCGCCACCCACCTTTGCCCCAATATCTGTTGATTCCAGTAACTACTGAACATCCACCTGGGCGAACTAGCTCACGATCCCAAATGCGTAGATTGACAATAAAAAAGAAAAAAACTAAGCTTAACCTCCGCGCGCACTAGTAAACATACTCCATAGATTTGAAGAAATGATTCCCAAGTGGCCGTTGTTTAGTTAATTCGCACTAATGAATGTTGGTCTGACTTTAAAGAAACTGAACACAAAGCTAATTGCTTTCCAAATATTAGATAGGTGTTTTAAAGTGAACTTTACGATCGTTATTGACACAATTAATACAAGACAAAAGGCAAACTGTTTATAACGATGCATAATGTTAATTGTAATTTTAAAAAAAATAAGGGAAAATTTACAAAAATCTTCTTTTCGTATAGAAATGATGTATTTGAATGAAATTAATTTATAGAAATGAATACCGAAATAAATAAAAGATAAACGTACAGTTTGTAGATTTTATTTGATCAAAAAATTCGTCTACATTTAACTAACAAAATTTTTAACAAGCTGTCCCTCAAATAAATTGCTATGCAAGTTCATAAGTATAATAAAATAAAAAAACATTAATGAATACCGATCCAAGTCTCAAACAATATTGCACGAATATCTACTTACGCTAGAGACAAAATAAAACAGAATAGAAACATGTTTTTTATGAAATAATATCATTTGCTTTTTTATATAATACCTATCGAAAATCTTTGGAAGCACAATTTGCCATTCAAATACTTTAACCGATATTCCATTTCCAAAAAGTTTCTTTTAGTAATATGGTTGTAACACAGTGAATTTTCATTTCGATGCCTCCAATAAACACTACTCTCAAAATTTTGAAATTTTCGTTTTTCACTCAAATCGCTTCACTATTTTAAAAGTATTACAAATCATTATTGATGGGGTTCGAAGCAAGAGTAAATCAGCTAGTTACACAAAAAAAAACCATAAATATATCTGCAATAATAAAGAATTTCAATCAACTTTTTTCGTTTAAACGCTCCTCCTGTAAACCTACGAATTTGGAGTTAGCGTAGTGTTCATTGGAGGCATCGATTTTAGATTCTATGACTATTTGCGCTTTCTGTGACTCCGTTAATGACCATTTGAATTTGCAATAGTGGGTACTTCGCAACCATTTACGAGAGCTACAAAAACGTTTATATTTAAGGAGCCAAGATGTTGTTTAAATATTATTATGGGCGGATATATTGCTATTACTATATAGACCACGAAGCTGAGACTTTTGGTTAATGAATTTCTTGAAAACAGGTTACCGCTTAAATTATAAAGTAAAACAATGATTGCTTACAACGTTAAAATATTAATGTTAAATAAATAAATTAACAAGCTGTAATAATATGCACGGAAAAAACTATTTTCATCAAAATATTTCAAGTCGGAACAAATTTTTCCTTCACACAATAGAATCAATAAAAATAAGAAATATAATTCGTTACAAAAAAACTTCATGAAACACAAATACATAATTTATAATGTTTTTTTAAACAATCTTTTTCATATTTTAATTTTTAAAACTCAATCCGTATTTATGAGTAAATTAAGTTTTATCTAGCTATATAATAAGAAAATTTTATACATTAAACAACAGATTAAAAGTTACTTACAAACTAATTTAATTCAGTATACATCTACTCAACTTCGTTAATTGCACATCTATTGCACTTTACAAGATGCATTTTTACATTTTTTATTCACAAATACGTATTTACAAATTGTAATTGCCAAAACAAATAAACGGTTCGACGTTCAAAACTGTTATTGTTACCGCTGAAAACACAATACAACGTTATCTTTGAACAGTCCTATAAGTAAATTGAAACGTAAAATAACATTAATTTCATAGTTACAAAACTCGTATATATCTTCGGACGGGTGTGAACTTCTAATTACGTCACGTAAAATTTCACTACTCGATTTTTCGCACATTTACACTTAATTACACTTAAGTCGTAAATTTGTTTCGTTGCAATTTTAAATGACAGCTTCTTTCTTCGGCTATAAAAATGTAAAACATTTAAAGTGCTTCACTACTAAGTTCCCGGGGCACTACTTTACGTGTCAGTCATAGTCTTAATAAAAGAAAGAAGTGTCAATCTGCTTTTAGTAGGGTCGCCACACTGTGTTGCTGTCAGGTTGAGGGTTACCGCGCTGTCCTAGATTGTTAACTCTACCGTCTTCTCCTCTTGCCGCCGCCGCCGCACACGAACTACTTCCCCCTAACAACAAATCCTGGTTTCCGTGCTGCCTATGATTGTTTGTCGTCGACGAGATCTGATCCATCATCGTCTGTAATTCGTTATGATGGTTTTGGGTCGAGTGAATCGAATTTGAGTGAAGCGGGTGAAAATTGTGCGTTTGGTTCGCCGCCGTATACAATTGGCTGTACAGCAAACTCGCAGGGAGGACCGGATAGAGGGAATTGTTGCAATTACTGCTCCCGTACGACGAGTTTTGGGATCCCATTAGCGAGGGGAAGTTTGAACTGTTCGAGTGATTGTGGCCGATGTTCGTCGTGTTTGAGGTGAGTAGGTCGTCTTGGACCGGTGATTCGGGTTGCGAGCTGTTATCGCTTAACGACCTCGGTCCAGTAGAGAGACTGTAGTCGGCGTTGTTGTTGTAGCGAGGCAGTAGAGTGCCGTGATGCGAAGGTGACGAGCCGACTAAGCCGGAAAGCTGCTGATCTAAGTCCACTCCGGTCGTGTCAGGTAGAACTGCGCAAAAATATTAACATTAACGAATCATCATTTGTATTTGTCGCATTAGCTGATTCAGTGTTGTACTTTCTGCCGATTTAACATCCGTTTTCGAAAAAAAAGTCACGTAAAACCTATCTATTAACAAACGTTATTTTAGTACGTTTTAATATGGCTATATTTTGTCGTGGCAACGGCACGCATCGGCAATAAATTTATCGTACGGATCGGAAGCGTCCGAACTGCTGTAAATTATAATGAGGACCGGTTAATGTACGTCGCGCGGGAGGCCATAGCTTCAATATAGCTGATATAGTATACGTACATTTTTGTCAAAGCTATTTAACGCAAGGGATCTCGTGTGTGCGGTTGCGTTATTCAAAAGCTTTTGATTCAGACTAATAGTGCTTTGAATTATCAGTTAGTTTAAAAACAACAAGCTTTAGTTGAAGCCTTGATAAACTATTTTTCTGCAATCTTTTCTCGTTTTTTTATTTTTTTTTATTGCTTATTTGGGTGGACGAGCTCACAGCCCACCTGGTGTTAAGTGGTTACTTGAGCCCATAGACATCCACAGCGTAAATGCGCCACCCACCTTGAAAAGTTCTAAGGTCTCAAGTTTAGTTACAACGGCTGCCCTACCCTTCAAACCGAAACGCATTACTGCTTCACGGCAGAAATAGGCAGGGTGGTGGTACCCACCCGCGCGGTCTCACAAGAGGTCCTACCACCGTTCTATACCAAATATTCTTAACTTTTCCGATAACTCAAAACGCAGTTTTATCGCCGAGAAGAATGACTAAGAAAGGCTCATCAAATGTATGTTGTTACTAAAATTTACACAATACTATTATTATTATAGAAGTTTTGATTAGAAGAGATTCCGGAGCAGTGAGAGAATATCTGGTCAGTCTTGTTACTGTATGGGGCATAAATTGAAGTCCACGCGGTATATCCATTACTTTGCTGTCTGTATCTTCGCTGCTTTTACTGACTACGAAAAAAATAATATAATTATTTACAAATGAAATGAACCGACAAAAGTAAAATCTACTTAATTCACTCCAAAACCGTCATGAGCAATAAATTTCGCGGATCAGGGGTAGGAAAGCTTCTTCGTAAACCAACTTTAACTAGAATCTTACTGACCGAAAAGAGACTGAATTTGGCCCAGAATAGCTATACACAGGCTCTTCCCATGTCGGAAGTGGACTAAGCGATATGATGAAATGGGCAGCAGCATTCTCTGGTTACTATACCAGCGTACAGCCTTCGTCGATCAGCATTTACTGATGATAGGGCGTATTGTAAGCGCATTCGGGTAGGTACCACCATCCTGTCTATTACTAGCGCGAAGCACTCATTCTGTTTAAAGTTCACAGCCGCTTTTCAATACAGGTAAATGTTTGATTTCATATGTTCGGATCTGGTTATGGATTGCGATAACTAGTTAACGCCAGATTGCTCGTGACATCCTTCAACTATCTACCCAATAAAAAATAAATAAGCGCGGATAAGCAATGAGACTAAAAGCGAAAGATCCCGGGTGATCAGATCGTGATAGGCCATGAATCAGAAGAGACTGATATGTGATCGTTGCCTGAGTTGCTGTCATTAATACTCGAACATTCATTTTGGGGTAAATTTTCGCTTATTTTCCTAATGAAGTCTCTCTCTAATTCCATCCCTTTGGTGCGCATTCTCCGACAATCACAATAGATTCTAAATTAAAAGTACGTATAGTTGTTATTCCGATGGTATTGAGACTACGATCTTATTTCTCGAGCTGAGGCGAATGAATTTTAAATAATTTTAAAAACTTTTATTTAATTATTTGGTAAATTGCGACTCCAATGCTTTTCGATATCCTTAAACACGACGTGGGTACAATTTGAACGAGGATATGAGTCGTAAATTTTTGGTAAATTTAATTTCACCTTACTGGTTCAACAGGCTATAGTTTGGTGTCATAAAACTTAATGATTAATCTGTTAACGATTTATAGCTGTTTTGTTCCGCGACATAGCTGCAGCATGCACGGATTACGTCACGCATTAAAACTAGTTGTTTCGAAAAAAACATAAATATTTTATGGACATAATTAAATCTATTGTTATGTTACGAAAGGTGATTAAGTTGGCAGATGGTACGTCGGTGCGCATTCGATATAAAATGAACTGTTAAAAACTAACAGAAATATGTAAAAGCAAATTTAGCGAGATTAAAGCGAAGCTATGTGGCATAATATTTTTTTTGTGTGAATAGAATCGTTTTTTGGGGCAACGCGAAATAGCCCTTTTTATTTATTACTAGCTGACCCGGCAGACTTCGTAGTGCGTGCCTCAATCGATAAATAAAAGACCTAAACTTTTGTGTAAAATAAACTTAAAACAAATAAAAGGAATCGGTCCGACGGGGGACACATCAAAGGAAAAACAAAATTGTTATTTTTATTTAATTCCGAGCATTTTCATATTTATCTAACCTTTTAAACCTTCTCTGGACTGCCACAAATAATTCAAGACCAAAGTTAGTCAAATCAGTCCAGCCGTTCTCGAGTTTTAGCGAGACTAACGAACAGCAATTCATTTTTATATATATATAGATAGATTATTTAATTTTATTAACGTGCGTATTTTTTTTTCGTTTCTTTGTCGACTCTATCTGTTATGTGCTTTGACTATTTTATATTTAACTTACAAATATTTTAACCCATATTACTCATGGGTCGGATTTCAATCTATCGTTAGATTTTATCTGATCTCAGAAAAACGAATAATTGTCGGTTTGCAAGTTTTTATGGTGACGCTCAAGAACGACTATAAAGAGCGAAGTGGAGGAGAAGAATTATTATAATTAATATTAGTATTATATGATTAAACATTTTTTACTTTTTCATACAACGACAAAAAGTATATAATTAATATGTCATGTACAAATTCCACCAGGTAATGATTGATAACTGAATCTGTGAACAATTTCAGCGGCAATGACAAGCCTCTGTCTGCGCTGAGGACTTTCAAACTTTGTTTAAGAACATGCCATAGGTTTCAGATGGTACAAAATGAAATGGCCTACTGAGCTAATGTTTCTCGCATTTGGCGGGGAGTGCAATACTAATAGGATATAGCTAAATTATGAATAATAAATGAAAATTAAAGCCAAATTATAGACATAATAATTACTGGTGGTAGGACCTCTTGTGAGTCCGCACGGGTAGGTACCACCACTCTGCCTATTTCTGCCGTGAAGTAGTAATGCGTTTCGACTTGAAGGGTGTGGCAGGCGTTGTAACTATACTTGAGACCTTAGAACTTATATCTCAAGGTGGGTGGCGCATTAACGTTGTAGTTGTCTATAGGCTCCAGTGACCACTTAACATCGGTGGGCGAGCTTGTCCACCAAACTACGCAATAAAAAAAAAATTAGAATGTTACCTGTATTATTAGCCGTAAAATCTTGCGTTGCGGTTTGATCGGGAACAGTTCCCGCGAAGCCTAAAGCCGGAGGGTTGAATTGAGATGCCGCTGGTGCCGCGCATGATGGGAGATAGGCTGGGTATGCGCTCGCACCGCCGTAGCCCCAGTGGGTGTTGCTCGAACTCAACCCAAACTGACTCATGTCTATAAGAAATAAAACAATATTAACAACACCAAGATTATAACTTTTAAAAAAAAATGCGCTGCTCGTTTATATTATAATATTACATTATATTTTTTTTATATTATATTATTTACTGGCGGTAGGACCTCTTGTGAGTCCGCGCGGGTAGGTATCACCTCCCTGCCTATTTCTGCCGTGAAGCAGTAATGCGTTTCGGTTTGAAGGGTGGGGCAGCCGTTGTAACTATACTTGAGACCTTAGAACTTATATATCTCAAGGTGGGTGGTGCATTTACGTTGTAGATGTCTATGGGCTCCAGTAACCACTTAACACCAGGTGTGCTGTGAGCTCGTCCACCCATCTAAGCAATAGAAAAAAAATCTACAAAAATACGTATCAACTCTATACTTACATTGTGTTAAGCGAAAGCCGTTACGCAATATACTTTAAATGCTAGTGTCTTTGAGATATTAGGAAGAAGTCTCTGATTTGGGGAGGTAGTACTCAGACGTGCGGATGTACACTATGGCATCATACGTTACGTGTCATTAAACATTAAGACACCACACGAAGCTGTAACAATATTTTCCGTGCATTGTATCAACTAGTTTTTACCTAGCAGAAATGAACACGATACAAATAAAAAAAAAACAAAAAAAAAAACCATCAATCAGCAAACGCCGCAAAAACCTATCGCAAAACCAAATCGGAATCTGTCCGCAGCAAATATTCGATTCGGCGTAGTTGAAAAGTGAATGAGTCACCAAACCGTGCGGCGGTACCCTAAACTACGTTCACTAAAGCGCGGATTCAATTCGGCCCCCGCCCAAAAAGAGGAGACCACCGAAACCTGACTGCAATCGAACAAGCATCGAGTCGTGCCCGCTGAAATCCACGAATGCAAAACAACTCTTGCCGTTTGAAAAACGCTGTGGAAAAACGAAAACAAAAAAAACAAAAGCGACATTCGCAAATCGACGCAGCGGTGTATCGTATGAAACCGGACTCCGCCGGATCGTTGGCAAAAACGGAGCCGCGATACCGAAAAATAAAAGGCGGTAATACTGGTAAAATTGAATGGACACGGACGCCGCCGGCACGCTCTGTTCCATCGTGTCTTTATACACAGGCTTTCATTACAAGTGGGTGATTGCGTTGCCGACACTGTACACGGTTTTGTGGCGCCGTTATAATATTTCTGTATATGATTTTATAGTAAAGGTTTTTTTAAGCTCGTTATGAGCTCCCAAATACAGATTTTTTTATTTTTCTCTCTGTTTGTTTATGCAATCCCTGTACTGGCTAGCCGATTTTGACATTAAGGGAAATTTAAGTAATGAACTACCTTCTTTTTTATTACCCTTGTAGGCAGACGAGCATACAGCCCACCTGATGGTGAGTGGTTACCGTCGCCCATGGACGTCAGCAATTCCATAGGCAGTGCCAAGTCGCTGCCCACTTCATCTCTTCCAGTGGGTGTCGTAAAAGAAACTCCTAAACCATCGGAGAGACCGCACGCATGGGTAACATCGTCTAGTCTATTTCTGCTAAGCTAAGTACCGCCTTAAAATGATAGCCATTGTAAATTATTACTGAAATTTCACATTGCAATGTACGCGTAAACGCTTGCCGTCAAGTAGCCTTCAGTTGAACCATCTCCAACAGTAAAATGTATTTAAAAATTCCTTAAATTGGAAGCACAATTTTAATACTTTTCAACTTCGATTTATTAAAAAAAACTTTAAGTGAACATTTTTTCTATCAAATCGTCTTTTAATCGTCTTTTTTATTGCTTAGATGGTTGGACGAGCTCACAGACCACCTGGTGTTAAGTGATTACTGGAGCCCATAGACATCTACAACGTAAATGCGCCACCCACCTTGAGATATAAGCTCTAAGGTCTCTAGTATAGTTACAGCGTCCTACCCTTTAAACCGAAACCCATTACTGCTTCACGGCAGAAATAGGCAGGGTGGTGGTACGTACCCGCGCGGACTCACAAGAGGTCCTACCACCAGTAATTACGCAAATTATAATTTTGCGGGTTTGATTTTTATTACACGATGTTATTCCTTCACCGTGGAAGTCAATCGTGAACATTTGTTGAGTACGTATTTCATTAGTAAAATTGGTACCCGCCTGCGGGATTCGAACACCGGTACATCGCTTCAACACGAATCCACCGGACGTCTTATGTTTTAGGCCACGGCGACATCGAAAGTGTAGTAATGTATAGACTGTAAAGTAACAAACAGGATGTACTCACTCCAAGATCCCAAAGGTCGAACTGTCGGCTAGTTTGCTCAACCTCTCTACTAGAGAAAAGTACTCACTCTGACAAGTTGTGATCGGTGGCATTCTGAACCCGCCGAGTGGATCCGGCGGGAAGGGAAACGGACGCTGGCCGAAGGCGAAGTGGAACTGCTGCTGCTGCCCTAGGAGAGACAGCACTAAATCAGTACGATACAAGCTGCCCTTGGTCCTCATCATAAATTGTGAATGTAAACGTGTTCCGAGTAATTATTAATAGGTTGAACGAAGTTCCTTATGAGACGATGCGGAGGGGTGCGCTAACCGAGAAAAAACGTCCGTAACGTAAGATTTTTATTAGTAATGCACACAGTGTACGACTTAACTTTGTAATAACGTGAAAAAAATATCATATTTTTTTATCATTCGTTGACCACGATCTCAGAGCTTCGTTTGCGCAATATACTAACTCTTATGCAAACAACCGTGAATGAAGTGTACCACAATAAGTTCGCACGTTACCAAATGACCGTGGGTTGTTGCGAAGCCTCCAGTTTTATTTTCTTTATACCTCGAATACAACATAAAATTAATATTTTTATAATAAGGAACTTCGTTCCTATCCGGTGTCCCACGACACCACACATCTTTTTGTACGATTCTTGATATGTTCCTTGGGGGAAAGTATGGTGACGGCGACACGGGTTAACGGATTAAGTGTAAATTACAACGGGACACTAAAAATTTGTCTACGACTGTTCGATAATTTACGATATGACTAATTAATTATCAATCTTTGTTTACCTGTTGTTGGATTTTTTGACATGGTAGGTACCATTAATATAAATGATTTGCGAGTCACGGCTGAACTGTTGGTATTTCAGCTTTCCTACCGTTTTGAATGTTATTGCCTCACAGAAATAACCAGACCGTGGTGCGAACCGAAGCGAGTTCAGAATAGGCTGCCAGTTCGAAATGCTATCATTTAAGGACTATTTCACCATACTAATGGTCCCACAGTAGCCGAATTTCAACTATAATTAATTGAAATTATAAGTTTGAACATGACCTACTATGGTTCTATTGTCAAATAATTTTATACTTCTATAATCACAGATTTCGTCAACACTACACTATATTAAAAACTAGCTGACCCGGCTGACTTCGTAGTGCCTCAATCGATAAATAAAAGACCTAAACTTTTGTATAAAATAAACCTAAAACAAACAAAAGGAATCCGTCCGACGGGGGACTAATCAAAGGAAAAACAAAATTGTTATTTTTATTTAAATCTGAGCATTTTCATATTTATCTACCTTTTAAACCTTCTCTGGACTTCCACCAATAATTCAAGACCAAAATTAACCAAATCGGTCCAGCCGTTCTCGACTTTTAGCGAAACTAACGAACAGCAATTCATTTATAACATTTTATATTATTTAAACAATATTAAGCTATTCTCAATTTGACCACAGACAAAAAAATAACAAAAGTTCGACAATAAGCAAAGAAGATATTATATGTATGTGTGTGTGTCAAATACATGGTAGTGTGTGTAATGATTTTTTATTGATTTAACGTATTATTGAGGCATAATTTAAAAAAAATTAGCATTCTACACTCCTTCTCTATATACTCTATGTGTGGGAAATTTCATACCCCTGCGTCTGTGCAATTTTCGTAAAAAGGGGTACAAACTTTTTGCTTCACGTATTAATATATAGATTAAATAATATTGAATGAGACATTCAAATCCAAAGTATGTTATTAAACGTGTTATAAATTTCTAAGATTAAAATGCACTTAAAACTTTTACAGAAACGCGCTGAGCTTTCATCAATCACACTAAGTTTCAATTAGACAATAGAATTGCTGCCCTACTCCTCAAAACGTAATACGGAATCGCGGCAGAAATAGGCAGAGTCCATATCCGTGTCGGTTCTAAGACGGCCTACAATCACTTGAGATGTATTCACAAAAAAAAAACATCCGTATAATTGCCTAATTTTCAATACAAATGTCTATTATGGAGCCCCTGTCTGTTTGTCGCGAATGAGTCACAGCGGTTAGAGTAGCTATTATGTCTTAAAGTGGATGATGACATTCACTTTGTTATGGGTTCCACCACTTAGCACCCGACAGGTTTTAAGATTGCTTGCCTATGAAAATTATATTCTAAAGATTTTATAGTAATCGTATGTTTTATTTCTCCAGACCCTTATATTCTAAAATTCATGGTTTACGGTTACTGTACATGTTTAAGTAATGAATAAGTCGTTTTTATCACTTGACTTAAACTCTATCGACTTTATTAGATTATTTAAATACTAACAATGACATTTAATGACTAATAATGTATTTAGAGGCCTAAGGGTTGACTGTAAGAGACGGTTTTCGGCGATAAATTCGCCCATTGTGCTTTTGTTTTAAGCCCAATTTTTTTCATTCTCTTTTTCTGTAAATTATCATAATTTTGGTGTACTTCAGTGTAATAAAGTATTTTATATTGTATTGTAATTGAAATAGTAATACTATTTAATATATGTATGCGAGTATATCTAATATATAATCGATCTAATTCTAAAAAATACCTTTAAATTGTTATAATAAAAATGTACTTTGTCAAAAGAAAAATACGTTAATTGTTTCTAAATAGAAGACTTACAAATAATTTATACACCCAAACAAAATTCATTATAAACAGAAAAACTTTTTTTAAAACATGCTTAAATATTATACTGTGCTTTGGACTTCGTGTGCTTATTTGGATAAAGCAATAATAATTATAAAAAGACAAAATTCAATAATTGTATGATTAACTAGAAAATACTAGCGAATAGCTCTTTTATATATGTATAAAACTGTCTAGATATACATTTTCTGATGGATGGATGGTTTCACTACAAACTAGGGTTGCCAGTCTGTTGTTTTACCATTTGAATAAAAGTTCTACAAGATATTGTACAGGATATTCCTATAATTTTGCATGTTTACATTAAGTGTATTTATTTTTTAAGCGTTCGTAATAAGTGTTTTACTGGTTTCCCCAAAGGCCTAGTTAAATTTAAATAATTTAAAAAAAAAGAAACACGTACATCTTTTTGTTTAATATATGTTAGAGTATTAAGTGAATGATCAATTCACTTGTCCTACCGTTAAGAATTTCGAGAGATAGTCACTATCAAGCTGAGTTGAAGTTCAGTCTCACATACGCTGTGCGTCCTCTAGGCGTGGGGACTTTGTAAGAGATTCGGCCCCCAGCCCGAGAAAAAAGTCTCGCTAAAATTCTAACTTTAATTACCTCGGGTGCCATTGTAGATATAACATACAATATGATGACATATAAATATATAACATAAGCTCTCAAAATAACAATACCTTTACTCTTAAGTCAACGTACATACATTTTGGTATTGAAGATAGTAAAATCCAATTTATGTGTAGCTACGTTAAAATCCGATTGTCAAATCGCATACAATATGCAATGTAGTCGAATGGTAATTTGAATCGATCCAACGTAATAAAAAATACAAGTAAGAAATAAATAACGAGCAAAAAAGATTACGCAATAACAGTTTTGTCAATGATTTATCCTAGAACAGGAAAGTAATCAACCGTTTTCTAATATTCTAATAAAGTAGTACTTTTCGCAGTAATTTACTGTGAACCAGTAACGAACCATTATAAATAATAAAACGTGTGGCACTCGGGAACTGCCGCGGTAAAGCTATTGCATAGCATATTTTATCAATTTATGCAATTATAATTAGACAATGATAATTTAATATTAAAACAATAATAAAACAAGCCCACACTAAATTAAACATTAATAAAAGCAAAACCTTAACTGTCCCCTTCACACTCATAAGCTAGATCGCGCGAGAGAGAGATGGGCAGACTTTTCATGATGCGCATGCAGTGTGACGTCACGCAACGCGCTTATTCACAAACACTACACAAGCGCAACGTGTGAATGTGTTGTACGCGAGCTACATGGTAGGCGGAGTGAGGGGTGTAAGGTTTTTTTCGTTACGGAATTTCATGATTCGGTCGCCGCGCTCAAGGCCGCGATAAAAGCTATGCAATAGCTTAACAGCACAATAACACAAACGTTAATCGATTTAATATAATACTTTAAAAAAACCAGTGAGACAGCCCTGTTCAGCACACATGCTCATTTCCCGTGCAAAGGCTCGAGTGTATAAATCAACGGCGCAACAATTACACACTTTCATGGCAAGTTGGAATTAGAAACTGTCATTTGCACCGTTCGAGGGCCGTTGGGGGGGAGTGAGGGCGAAGGGGGAATGGCATTGGGAGGGAAAAATAGGGTACGAGTAAGGGCTACTGCGGACCTGATTAAAGGATTACAGGGGAGTCCAGTGTAGTTAGATTTATTATACCAAGCATTTCTACTAGTTAGCTGCGCTTTGTTCTAATGCGCCCGACGATGACAATTTATTCGCCTAGCTTAGTTGAGTTTTTTTTACTAAATATATGTTAGGTTAAAATCCTCACATGTGCATGTAAAATGATTTAAATGAATATTGAAGGCAGTCGATTATGTTTTGTCGTATGTTAGTTTTTTCGCGACACTGATTTTTTTACCAAAGTAAGGTTATTGTTATATCAGCGCATATTACAAGCAGATCAATCATTACTAGTGGGTTTCGTAAAATTTATAGAGATAAGAGAAAGTATTCAGAATAAGATTCCTTTAGATAATTGACAAGGAAAGATAAAAAATAATTAGACATCAATATGTATAAAATACTTTTGTCCAAAAGTAAATTCGACATGTATATTATTTTTATTTTGTGTTTGACAAAAAAAATATTCGAAAAATTACAATTAAAATTGTATATAAAAAGACAAAGACAAAATAGTTACGTAGAATTTTCCCCTCTCGTTCTCTACTAGTTTCCTCTTTGTTAGTTAGTTAAGTGCCTATTAATGAGCTTTAACTTTTTGAAATAAAATATTTAGGTAATGTTTTTTTTTCAGAATTTCAATATAAATAAAAAGTTTTAGGTCAAACTGATTTAGGTCGAATTTTGATCACTGGGGGATAACTATTTAGTTAAAAAGTAAATTGACCATATTTTCCAACAATATACTATATTCTATGTACATGAAATCAATACAAAAATTTAATATAATTATAACGTGCGTAATTACTGGTGGTAGGACCTCTTGTGAGTCCGCACGGGAAGGTACCACCATCCTGCCTATTTCTGCCGTGAAGCAGTAATGCGTTTCGATTTGAAGGGTGAGGCAGCTGTTGTAACTATACTGAGACCTTAGACCTTATATCTCAAGGTGGGTGACGCATTTACGTTGTAGATCTCTATGGGCTCCAGTAACCACTTAACACCAGGTGGGCTGTGAGCTCGTGCAACCATCTAAGCAATAAAAAATAATAATAATAACAATACAAACACTAGAAAAATTACTTTGAATACTGACTGAACTGAATTCGTCTAGGTGCATCTAAGTGCGTTTAACTCGTGCATGACTCAAGTAAAGGGCTAAGTTAACGTGTGAAGTAAACAATCAGACTGCAGATGTAAACATTCGATCCATAACGACACTCTTGAATACACAGTGCAAAATTAACTCCAATGTTCAATACATTTTACAATACAACCTCTGTAATATTTTATGATTGAAATTACAATTAATTAAAGCATTTCAGAGATTTGTGTGATGTGATGCCTATTTTTTTGAGCTAGTAAATCCCGGCCATGCTCCACTGTGACTGTTGCTAAATATTCCCATTTGACCAGCAGTGGGATGAAAGGTAACCTTTTACTTTCTAAGATTCAAACTATTTTGATATCGAATTTTGTCAAAATCGTATCATAGGACATAAAAAAGTAACAAACAGACTTTCGTGCTTATGATATTACTATGAATTGTCATACAGTTTACTGGTTTGAAAGAAAACAAAAAAAATAAATAGATCACTAAAATCTGGCAATTAATAATAAAAATTTTTTTACAAAAAAATAGTAATGTGACTGAACAGAATTGCACAACTGTTATTAGATTTACTATGGCATCATAGCGCCTTAGGCATGGGTGGTCCTGTGTTCGTGAACCGAGAATAGCTTGCCATTGCTTCCTTAACAAAAACATTGTTAATAGTCAGACCGATTATAAAGTTAGGCGGCTACTGCACATTGATAATAAAACGCACCACCCACCCGGAATGGCTAAAAATAGGAACGGAGATTCTGTGAGCACAAAGAACGGGTTTAATCTTCGTGTGATGATTATATGTAAGAGGACGCTATGCGAAAGAAAACATTTTTAAATAATTAAGAGACTTTAATAACAAATTTATGAATTGTGTACACTACATACTTGATAGTTTGATAACAAACTAAATTTCGATCCATTTTCAGTTGTTTTTACTTCAAACATTTTTAGACATAATTACTGTGATAAACTTAGTTATTATATTTATTTGCGAAGAGCTATAAGCCACCCGGTAAGAAGTTATCAATTTGCATAACCTGCCGATACTAGGGACACAGCAAAATCGACGGTATGCTATTATTTAAATAAGTAATGAAACATTGCCATTTTCTTAATAACATTACAATGACAACCCTCGAAAATCTATCGGGAAACGCGAATCAATCTAAACACAAAGCATAGCATGTTAACATGCGTTGGAACTTAGAATTAAATAATTTATCGGCTCCGCGCGGAGGCTGGAGGCATAAATCAATATGCAGGGCATGCACACACGCGGCAAAGGGTGGTTAGTCCGACCTCCCTACACCCTCAGCCCTTTCTTGACTAATTAATTAAACAACCGATTCATTACAGAAGCCTCCTTTGTACCCTCACATTCGTCTAGTGAGATAGAGGTAGGATGGCATTAGGATAGTCATTAATCGTGTTTCGCAAAATTTTAATCCCGAATTTCGGCAGTGAGTGAATCGAGCTTCGCCCTGATTTGATGAGACAAAATCTCGGAGCGTTAGATATTTTAGTTTTCCGTTTTATATTACGTTAAATATTTTGTGGTTTCTGTGTTTCAGGAATTTTTTTACTACAGTTTTCATTTAAAATACTAGCTGACCTGGCAGAGTTCGTAGTGCGTCTATCGATAAATAAAAGACCTAAGCTTTTGTATAAAATAAACTTCAAACAAACAAAAGGTATCCGTCCACCGGGGGACACATCAAAACAAAATTGTTCTTTTTATTTAATTCCTAACATTTTCATATTTATCTACCTTTTAGCTAGACTAACGAACAGCAATTCATTTTTATATATAGAAGAAGATTAAAACAGCATAGTCAAGATATGTTAAGGAAACAATGAACTCGTATATTATACGATCTATGACTCTCCGTTCTTCGTCCTTTTCTATCGTTTCGATTCTGAATATTACAGAAAGATGAAACGGAAATACTTCGGCAAATTATTAATTAATTACCTCAATTAAGGCTGTTGTTTTTGAATGTTTTGCGGTTGCCCTTGTTTCGTTTCGAGTACTCGCAAACATAAACGGGCTTTGATGTTTTCCGTATAGTTTTGTGAATTTAATTGCGCGTGCCTAACGTTGTGAAGAGTTTTATTTGCTTTGCAATTGTTGACTTTTCGAAACGTACGTCTAATTTAATATTATGTAACGTTTTGTTTTCGACAATATTGTCAGTTGGGGAACCATAAAAATACAACTGTTTGTTTGTTTGTATGTAGATGGTTTGAATAAATTACTTTTGAAATTTTCTTATTAAATATGTTTTAAGCTATTGCATAGATTTTATCGCGGGCTTTGACCGCGGCGACTGGATCAAGAAATTCCGTAACGAAAATAACCTGACACCCCCACTACGCCTACTATGTAGCTCGCGTTCAACACATTCACACGTTGCGCTTGTGTAGTGTTTGTGAATAAGCGCGCGGCGTGACGGCGCACTGCCGCATGCACATCATGAAAAGTCTGCCCATCTCTCCCTTGCGCGGTCTAGGTTATGAGTGTGAAGGAGACAGTTAATGTTTTGCTTTTGTTAATGTTTATAAATATAGCGTGGTCTTATTTTATTGTTGTTTTAATATTAAATTATTATTGTCGATTTATAATTGCATAAGTTGATAAAAAATGCTACGCAATAGCTTTACCGCGGCAGTCTCGGAGTGCCACGCGTGTTTTTTTTATTGCAGTTATGGCTGTATGAGCACCATATACTCTTTTGACAGCCCTTGTAGGCAGACGAGGATACGACCGATCTGATGGTGAGTGGTCACCGTTATTGATGGATGTCAGTAACTGTAATACCAGGCGCACAGCTAAGCCTCTGTCTACCGTAAATTGTTAAGTGTTGAGATTGCTTTAGATTGGGCGTACCGGAAATTCGAACTTATTTAATAGAGAAAGATTTATACTTAGTCAATTATTATTTTACATAAGCTACCGTAGGAAAATACTGCTAAAAATTTCTAATTGTATATAATGAAATACTTTTAAATATCGTACACTAGGCGCATGGGAGACGCTTTTCTGGTTATTATGACACAATAACAATAGAGTGTCGATTTCTTAATACACTCGTATATATATCATGAATGACAGATTTTAAATTCAAATGTTTTTTGTAGTGATTATTTATGGCCAGACTTTTACCATGAAGAATATATAATAGTTCAAACTTATTTCAGACTAGCTGACAAGGGAAAATTTCGTAGTGCCTCAATCGATAAATAAAATACCTAAGCTTTTGTATAAATTAAACTTAAAACAAACAAAAGGAATCCGTCCGACGGGGGACACATTAAAGGGAAAACAAAATTATTATTTTTATTTAATTCCAAACATTTTCATATTTTAAACCTTCTCTGGACTTCCACAAATAATTCAAGACCAAAATTAGCCAAATCGGTCCAGCCGTTCTCGAGTTTTAGCGAGACTAACGAACAGCAATTCATTTTTATATACATAGACTAGCGACCCGCCCTCGCTTCGCTTCGGAAACTGTAATTTATTATTGATTTCTCCACTATTTAATGGATGTTATTATACATACAAACCTTCCACTTCAATTACTCTATCTATTAAAAAAAACCGCATCAAAATCCGTTGCGTAGTTTTAAAGATTTAAGCATACATAGGGATATAGGGACAGAGAAAGCGACTTTGTTTTATACTATGTAGTGATATATAGATTTGGGAACATTTCATTACACCCTGTATAACGAAGCAATACTAACTGGTCTTTGAACGTGGCTCCCTCGGTCCGTCAACCGTCACCTTGATGGCTTTGTTGTACGTCGTCACTTGAGGTGGGGTAGTGGAAACCGTAATCGTCAAGGTGAATGATTTACCTGTAACAATAGAATTACGTAAATACATTTCTAAAAAAAGTTTCTATTTTCCATAAAATCCGTTGAAATTATTTATTTCGTTCAGAATTGTTCTGGCCTCGTAGAAGTATGCGCACGTCACTAAAACCGCCTCACTTAGGGCCGTTGAATTTAAACTATAATTAAAATGAAATCAAACCCGCAAAATTATAATTTGCGCAATTACTGGTGGTAGGACCTCTTGTGTGTCCGTCCGCACGGGTAGGTACTACCGCCCTGCCTATTTCTGCCGTGAAGCAGTAATGCGTTTCGGTTTGAAGGGTGGGGCAGACGTTGTAACTATACTGAGATCTTAGAACTTATATCTCAAGGTGGGTGGCGCATTTACGTTGTAGATGTCTATGGGCTCCACCACCTTACACAAGGTGGGCTGTGAGCTCATCCACCCATCTAAGCAATAAAAAAAAATAAAAAAAATATCAGACATAAGCGTCGGAGTTGAATGTTTGTTTACAAAAAAAAAAGACAAAAGCATTTCACGAATGAAACAATCTCGTTCGAACGCGAAGTGCGCAGCTCATCACACCGCGTCACGAACAGTGACCTGACCACTTCATCACGGCGTAACTCTGACAATAAAAATAATCCATCTGCGGAAAAACCACAGTTAATATTAAATGAATGCGCCTCAAAGCGTATCGTGGAGAGTTCAGCCGTCCGCTCGCCGCGGGATGTTCCCGATACCGATTTCGCCATTTTTCCACCGCCCACCGGCCACCCCGGGTGGGGGCCGCGGAGAGTGACATGTAAGCTTTAATGGGGCCCCGAGTGGTACGCCGCCGGCTACAAGCGAAAAAAGTGGAAAAAGTCTCATTCATACGTGATTTCATGTGTAGGCTACTTCTGCGGGCTCGGCGGTGAGGATCGTTAAAAATGGAGGCCTACACGCAACCGGCTTGTTGTGGCCTATCCGAGTTTATTAACGTGGACCGAGGAGCGCTTGCAGTGTACGTGTAACAAGTGTTTTCATCGCTTTCGGGCTTCGATTGTAATTATTTTGTTAACATAATTATGATTATCTGTACTATTTTATATTGCTGTTAAGTTGAAACTTCGAACTTCAATATTGCTGGCGGAATTCACATTATCATCTATATCGGCTCGACTTATCATTTAACATTGGATCGGGGTCGAGAAAGATCGAGAGGTCGTCTATTCATCTACAAGAAATAAAAACCTTAATACGAAAAGAACGTTAATTGCAAACCATAGTAACACTTAATTTAGAACATTAGCGAATTCGTACTACCTGTACTACCTGGAGCCACTGCGGTCATCCACAATGCGTTTCCAGAGGTCTTTTTTGCCACGTACCATCCGGCTACGGAATGAGCTCCCCTCCACAGTGTTTCCCGAGCGTTATGACATGTCTTTCTTCAAACGAGGCTTGTGGAGAGTATTAAGCGGTAGGCAGCGGTTTGGCTCTGCCCCTGGCATTGCTGAAGTCCATGGGCGACGGTAACCACTCACATCAGGTGGGCCGTATGCTCGTATGGCCTACAAGGGCAATAACAAATAATCATTCTGAAATGAAGTGAAAGAACCACTTCCTAAACACATCAAAAGGTGTTTTTTAAATACTGCCTAGTCTAAAACGTGTTTGAGTGATGCGCTGGTGAAGTAGCGGTACCAGGCGCGGCTCGCCACCGGCCCAACAGCGCCTAAATAAATAACCCCTACTTAATGTACGACCCGCACGATAGCAAGCACCAATTTTACGAGCTCGCAATACCCTCGCCCGTGACAGACTTGCCTTGTTATAAGCTTTTTAAGGTATCTGATGAATTTCAACACGAAATCAAGATATTTCAAAAGTGTTTACAAAATAGATATACCTTTTTATTCGTTTAGTGACGTAGGAAAGTTTTTTGAAGTTGTTTAACTCTATCGTATTCATTCGCGCGACATTCATTTGTAGGTATTTAGGTATGTAGGTACAGTACAGTGAATTTTAGATTTTAAGAAATCAGAGCATGCATTTAGTTTGATTTGCTTAGTCAGGTATATTATATACATAGATTTAGTTTGAATTAAGCGGACTGTATATTTGACTGAATTGTTGGCATGTTACTTAGCGCCCCTGAATACTGTTGCAAGAGGTTAGGCTCTATTCCCACTTCGGACAAACATACGTGTGATTCGTTTGATGTTCATTGTATTTATTTACGCGTTTATCAGTGCCAATAAAACTTCCTATGATGATACGATTACTGATATATTTTATTTATATGATATGCAAATTAAATATTTGAATTTGATTTTACTCCCGTAATTTTAAACATCTTCTGGTCGTTCGATTGGCTTAAAAGTTTTGCTTAAAAAGGACCGTTGCCAATTCAATGATGTCATTCATTACATTGGCCTAACAATTGAAAAAAAGCTTGTAGTTTAATGTAGTGTAGTTTTTGTAGCTTTAAACTACATTAATTTAGAAAATAAATAAATAAATGTGGTTGGTAAAATACTCTACGACTAGTTTCAGGTAGCATTTAGGTTTGTACACCTTCAACTATTGAAGCGAATTCTCATAGAAAGAAAAACGTGGACATGCCTTCGATAAACAAAGGCAAATGTTCTCAATTACTTAACTTTGACTAGTATTTTTTCATGTGTTATTTGCCAAAAATACGTATACGAAAGAAAAATATTTTAACTATGCCATTGTATTTTATTAAAGAACAAATTAGTTAATAGAATAAAAAAAAATTTTTTTTGCCTGTTTATTTTCCCGTGTGCATTTTTAAACTGTCTTTTTATTGTTAATATTATATTAGTTAATTGGACTGACAATAGCTGCAACATGAATTCATCATTTATCCATCGTGGTTAAAGTTGGAATTCACTTCAATATCGGTTGGCCTAAACTTCAAACCAGAACATATGATTACTTGCAGCACTGTCGGTGCATGCCTATCTCAGTATGCTTACGTTGCAATTCTCAAACTGGTTCCACTTTTAAAATATAATAATTGTAATTTGAAGATTAAAACAAACTCTTTAAAAATAACACAAGCCGATTTTAATTGAACGATTAAAATTATCGCTTTAACTTTTGGGCGGGCATATCCGTATAGCTCCGTCTTACGTTCACAGACGACAACGACATTTCCTTAATAGGTGGATGCAATCCAATTTGACAGCTGTCAAATACACTCCTCGGCGTGTCGCAGTCGTAGCGATTACGCAGCGGCGTCGGACGTAACAACGTGTTAATGCCTCTACACGTTAATGGACTGAATTAATATGCCGGTGTAAGCTAAGATGTTTGACGCTATCGTATCTGAAGTATACCTTATAGTTTAGATATATAATATACATGGCGTTTTTTTGTATTTATTGAGCTTTGATGACTGGGCTGCTTTTAAGTAGTTACCGGAGCTCATAGACATCTACAACATAAATACCGCCGCCCATCTTAAGGTCTTCGTTTTTACAGTACAACAGCTTCCCCACCCTTCAAATCGAAACACATTATTGCTTCACGGCAGAAAAGGCGGTGGTACCTACCCGTGCGGACTCACAAGACGTCCTACCATCAATCAGTAAAAGGCTTTTCAAAATATCTTAAATAATAAGTTGTGTTTACTCTGTCTGACCGTTTCGACCTGTCTGATCGGTCGAGTGATTTTTGACCGTGATCACTATAGAACAAAGTCTAGATTTGTTTTTATTATAAATTTAGATTTGATAATTATCAGTTCTGGTTATCAGGTTCTGGATGTTCTGATTATCTCGTATGTATTTACGATACTCGAAGCACTGGAGAAGATCATAAGTAAGATCATAAGCATGTAAGCCGCTGCATGTGTAATAATTGTTTATTAGCTTTTACTCTTTAGGATTAAATTTTATTTAAAGTCGATACTAAAATTTGATGGGTAGTAAAATCGAACATTAACATAAAGCATTCAGTGTTTCATTCAAACATACTAATACGTTTTATCTCGGAGCAGTTAAAGAGTAACGTACATTGTATCTAAGTTTGACGACCCATCTATTGTAAGATTAGTAAAATGCATACTAGACATATAAGTAATAGTCTTTGATAAAAGAATCATAATAGTATGCAAACTTATAATTTCATTTAATTATAGTCGAATTTCGACTACACTGGGACCACTAGTACTTATAAATGAGACTGAAAAATGAAGGTGAGCAGCATCTATAGTGTCCTGCAATCATTTGTCAATAGGGGCCGTGAGTTGTTACTGTCTATGCAAAAAAAAACTAACTAAATGGTATCGAATTTTTTTTTTTATTGCTTATTTGGATGGACGAGCTCACAGCCCACCTGGTGTTAAGTGGTTACTGGAGCCCATAGACATCTACAACGTAAATGCGCCACCCACCTCGAGATATAAGTTCTAAGATCTCAGTATAGTTACAACGGCTACCCCACCCTTCGAACCGAAACGCATTACTGCTTCACGGCGGAAATAGGCGGGGTGGTGGTACCTACCCGTGCNGACGAGCTCACAGCCCACCTGGTGTTAAGTGGTTACTGGAGCCCATAGACATCTACAACGTAAATGCGCCACCCACCTCGAGATATAAGTTCTAAGATCTCAGTATAGTTACAACGGCTACCCCACCCTTCGAACCGAAACGCATTACTGCTTCACGGCGGAAATAGGCGGGGTGGTGGTACCTACCCGTGCGGACTCCCAAGAGATCCTACCACCATTAATAATTTCATTTTATTAAATTTTTACTGCTACGGGATAAGTATTAAGTATTTTTATCGCTAAGCACGAGTCGTACTTGAACATTTATTACCCGAAGAAGTCATGGGTTTTCGATGACGCACAAATATAAAATAAAATGAAGACTTAACAGGACATTATAAAACGTAAATTCTGATTCTAAACTGTATCAAAAATGAGTGTATGTGCGTTTGGAAATCCTACCATTATAGAGCGTCCGTCACTAATAGAGCGTGTTTGAGCCGCGTGACGCCGCAG